AAGGCCCTAAAGGAGCGATAGCTGTTACTCTTCCCAGCCCCCCATCACCCCAGTGCTCTCTCTGGTTGACCCTGTCCCAGCCCAGAGCCCCCCAGGCCCTGCTCCATCCTACCCACTGCCTTCCCAGCTTCTGGACAGGCAAAGACAGTTGCATGCACAGTCAGAGGGTTGAGGGTTAGAGCAGGGCCCTTGCAGGCAGAACAGGGTCTGCAGTGTTGTGGGATGTGACGGAAGGGAAGGTGTGGGCAGGTGTCCCTGGGAGCATGGGGTCTATCAGTTCCTGGCAGCCAGCTAGGCTACTCAGGACCTGGGGGAGAGGGGAGGCCAGGTGGTTCTGGGGACCCTGAGCTCCATACACAGGGCTGGGAAGCCAGGAAGGGGGTTCCTGGCAAGAGCCCTGATGCCCCAGTCCTGGCCCTAAGGCTCCTCCCTTCCCATCAGCTCCCCCCAGCTAGGCCAAGGCAGTGAACCCAAGTGGTGGCCTTCTAGGGTCAGGTTTCCAGGGTAACCTGACCCTGAGTGCTCAGTTCCAGTAACCTGACTCTCAACTCCCTCCCCAGCTGGGCTGTTCTGGGGCTGTTCCGAAGCTTCTGCCTTTAGTTCCCAGGGAGGCGGTGGGGAGGAGCGGGCAAGCTGCTGCTGCTGCTGGGACCAGCTGTGGCTTTCCTCAGTCCCACTCCCTGGGCGCTGTCCCTCTCTGGGAGCCATCTCTGCTGCCAGGCAGCCCTCCCCTGGGCTGGCCCAGAGGTCCACATTCCAGGCCACTCCCCATGCCAGTCTTGGATCTGGCTGGGCGACCCAGGGCCTGGTCTGGCAGTTTCTTGCTTATGCAAGTGGGGGAGTTGGTTAGTGCCCGAGGTGAAGAATGGGCACCCTGTGCCCTGGCTCCCTCCTGTCTGCTGGGAGGAGACCAGGGAGGCTGGCTCTCCCCCAAGGGTGGGTGCAAAAGGGAAAGGCTGAGGGTGAGCCTTGGCCAGAAGCAAGGGGCTCGGCCTGAGACTGTTGCAGGTGGTCGCAGGGCATCCTCCAGGGCCAGAAGGCAGGTGCCAGCCTGTGCCCTGTTAATCGCTGTGTTCTGCCCACAGGCGACGTGGTGGACATCTACCAACGGGAGTTCTTGGCGTTGCGGGACCGTCTGCACGCAGCTGAGCAGGAGAGCCTTAAGCGCTCCAAGGAGCTCAACCTGGTGCTGGATGAGATCAAGAGGGCTGTGTCAGAGAGGCAGGCCCTGCGGGAGGGCGACAGTAACCACACCTGGGGCCGCCTGACAGGTGAGCTCCGGAGCAGTGCCAGGCTGGCTAGGGCTGGGCACTGCGCAGGTCCCAGGCTGTGCCATTTGACTTGTCCTATTCCGATCCTTCCTCCTGTAGAGGACCCCCGGCTGAAGCCCTGGAACATCTCGCACAGGCACGTGTTACACCTGCCTACTGTCTTCCACCACCTGCCGCACCTGCTGGCCAAGGAGAGCAGTCTGCAGCCAGCGGTGCGTGTGGGCCAGGGCCGCACCGGAGGTAGGGGTGTCCCTGGGGAGTGGCACGAGGCTGGTGGTGGGGCATGAGTGGGGACAGTGTCCAACATCACCATCTGCACCCCGCAGTGTCGGTGGTCATGGGCATCCCGAGCGTGCGACGCGAAGTGCACTCGTACCTCACCGACACGCTGCACTCGCTCATCTCGGAGCTGAGCCCACAGGAGAAGGAGGATTCGGTCATCGTGGTGCTGATCGCCGAGGTGAGTGATGCAGGCATGTGGTATGGGGGGGGCGGAAGACACTGGCGGGATCCAAGCCCAGCCTTCCCTGGGCTGCTGACAGGGAGCTCACATCCTCCATCTGTGGGGGCTTCTCCAGCCTGAGCCCCTTCCCCCATCCCTTCTTCTGGGTTACTTGGGTTGGCATCTGGGCTGAGGGAAGGTGCCTGCTATCTTCACAGACTGACCCTCAGTACACTTCAGCAGTGACAGAGAACATCAAGGCCTTGTGAGTCCCAGCAGCCCCAGACAGCTGTGGTGGGAGGGTTCAGGGAGGCAGCGCAGGGGGAGGGGTGTTGGGAGGGGTCTGCAGCCAATGGATTAGGTGGGATTTGAGGCCTCCAGCCCCTGGAGGTGACATGTCCCAGTCCAGCTGGCTTTCTGTTTCCACCACCCAGGTTCCCCACGGAGATCCACTCGGGACTCTTGGAAGTCATCTCCCCTTCCCCCCACTTCTACCCTGACTTCTCCCGCCTCCGCGAGTCCTTTGGAGACCCCAAGGAGAGAGTCAGGTACTGCCGCTGCCCTCCTAAGTGCCCTGCCCTCCTGTGCCTGGAGCCCATCCCTTGGGGCCTGAGTGTGGGGCACTGGCCTGCAGTAGTTCTGTGTCTCCATCCACCAGAGGCTCCTGGCAAGTGGGGAGGGAGTTGGGAGGGTAATTCAGGCACCTGGTGGTCTGTGGGTGGCAGTTGCACCAAGGTGTCAGTTCCTGAGACCCCATCTCTGGCCCCATAGGTGGAGGACCAAACAGAACCTCGACTACTGCTTCCTCATGATGTATGCACAGTCCAAGGGAGTCTACTACGTGCAGGTCAGTCCTGGGACCCTGGGTCGGAAGCCCTACCCCCGTGCCCACTGGTGCCCATCCTGAGTCTCCCTCACCATCTGCCTGGCCCCTGTGCAGCTGGAGGATGACATTGTAGCCAAGCCGAACTATCTGAGCACCATGAAGAACTTCGCCCTGCAGCAGCCCTCTGAGGATTGGATGATCCTGGAATTCTCCCAGCTGGGTTTCATTGGTGCGCCCTGCCATCCTCACCGTGCCAGCCTGGGCACTACCCTCTGCATGGGGAGCTTCCACACTGCCTGAAACACACCTGTGGGCATAGTCCTGGCACCTTCCTGGGCCTTGCACCCTGTGGGTCGGGAAGAAGCAGTGTAGGGTAGTGCTGCCGGCTCAGGATGGCTGGCTTTACCCCGGTCCTCCTGTCCCCACCCAGGGAAGATGTTCAAGTCACTGGACCTGAGCCTGATCGTGGAGTTCACGCTCATGTTCTACCGGGACAAGCCCATTGACTGGCTCCTGGACCATATTCTGTGGGTGAAGGTCTGCAACCCAGAGAAGGATGCGGTGAGCAGTGCCTTGCAGAAGAGGGGCTGAGCCACCATGGGCAGTGCACACCCACCCACCCGTGTCCTGTGTGCGGCCAGGCTGAGCCCAGCCCCGGGGCCTTCCTCTCCTTCGCAGAAGCACTGCGACCGGCAGAAGGCCAACCTGCGCATCCGCTTCAAGCCATCCCTCTTCCAGCACGTGGGCACACACTCCTCACTGGCCGGCAAGATCCAGAAACTGAAGGTAAATGTCAGCAGGCACGCTTGCCTGGCCAGGGAGTGGGGCAACAGGCAGAGCCAGGCCAGGGCTCCTGATCGGCCATCCACGGCTGCAGGACAAGGACTTTGGGAAGCAAGCGCTGCGGAAGGAGCACGTGAACCCGCCGGCTGAGGTGAGCACCAGCCTCAAGACATACCAGCACTTCACCCTGGAGAAGGCCTACCTGCGCGAGGACTTCTTCTGGGCCTTCACGCCAGCTGCTGGGGACTTCATCCGCTTCCGCTTCTTCCAGCCGCTGCGCCTGGAGCGGTCAGTGCGGGTACCCGCAGGTCCACCTTGGGGTGGGGAGAGGAGTGTGCCCCCCAGGAGATGATCTGGCTTGGCCATGTCTTAGTTTCCCTATGTGAGAAGGGCAGGTTCCTGTTGGGGCAGTGTCTACTGAGGACTAAGGTAGTGCTGGTGAATGCCCTGGCAGAAGTCTGCCGCCCTGTGGCGCGTGGGGCCGGGCCGCCTCACGGCAGCTCACAGGCCGGCCTGGCCGTAGGTTCTTCTTCCGCAGCGGGAACATCGAGCACCCAGAGGACAAGCTCTTCAACACTTCCGTGGAGGTGCTGCCCTTTGACGTGAGTGTGGTCGGGCTGTGGGTGTGCGTGGCAGCATGGCCCTCCTGTGACAGCCAACCTCAGGGCCTTGACACGGCTACCCCCACACCCCCAGAACCCCCAGTCCGACAAGGAGGCGCTGCAGGAGGGCCGCATGGCCACTCTGCGCTACCCGCGGAGCCCTGATGGCTACCTGCAGATAGGTGAGTGCGGGACAGCAGGGTGGGGCCGGGCTCGCCCCCCCCTCCCCGCAGTGACTCAGTGCTGCTCTGTCAGGCTCCTTCTACAAGGGCGTGGCCGAGGGCGAGGTGGACCCGGCCTTCGGGCCTCTGGAAGCGCTGCGCCTCTCCATCCAGACCGACTCGCCTGTGTGGGTGATTCTGAGTGAGGTAGGCGCGGCCCAGGGCCAGGGTGGGGCTCGCTGCCTGCTAGCCACCTGACAGCCCCCCATGGCTCTTGCAGATCTTCCTGAAGAAGGCCGACTGAGCTGCAGGGCTTGGGATGGAGGGAGCCCCACAGCGGCCCGGGCAACCCTCGCTGCTGCCCCCGGAGGGTCAGGCGCGGATGCTCACTCAAGGCTGGGCTGGCCTGGGGTCCGCCGCTGGCCCGGAGGCCCCAGCAGCTGGTGCTGCCCCGTCCACCAGGCCGGGGGAGGCAGGGGGCCCCACACTGTGCCTGAGGGCCGGCCTAGCCGCCCAGACCGTCCGCCAGGCCGCGGCAGAAGCGCTTCCCCTCGGGCGCCCGGTCTCCGGCGCGAACACTGGAATGCATATACTACTTTATGTGCTGTGTTTTTTATTCTTGGATACATTTGATTTTTTCACGTAAGTCCACATATACTTCTATAAGAGCGTGACTTGTAATAAAGGGTCAATGAAGCACGTGCCTCCAATGTGAGTGCTCCCAGTGACCGCGCACCCCCCAGTGCCAAGCCGGGACCCTGACTCCCGGAGCCCTGGAGGGGCCTGGTGTCCTCACCGGGCGCCTCACCCTTGGGTCCCCAACACAGAGGAGTCCCCCTCCCGGCCACCCTGCAGAGCGGCGCAGGATGAGGAAGGAGCCCCTCTCCTTCGAGGCCCGCCCACGCCCCTCCAGGAAGCCCCGGGGAAAGCAGTTACGGGAACAGCCGTTGCAGAGACTTGAATCAGACGCCTGAGGCAGAGGCGGGGCACCCGCCCGCTCCTGGAGGCTCTCGGGTCTGTCGGTCTCAGGCCCAGGGCAGCAGCATCCTGAGCCGGCGGAGCAGCGCCGCGCTCAGCGGGGCAGGGAGGAAGTGCAGCAGCAGGCCGAGCGCCGCCAGCGCCACCAGCAGCCAGAGCGCGCCGGCGCTCTTATACAGCGGGGCCAGCCTGCAGCGAGCGCCGGACGGCCGGGCTCAGGCCAGCGGCCCTCAGGGAGCCCCGCCCCAAGCTCCGCCCCCACCTCCCCTCGGGGAGCCCCGCCCCCTCAGGGAGGCCGCCCCCACTCCCCTCAGGGAGCCCCGCCCCAAGCTCCGCCCCCACCTCCCCTCGGGTAGCCCCGCCCCGCCCCCTCAGGGAGCCCGCCCCGAGCTCCGCCCCCACCTCCCCTCGGGGAGCCCCGCCCCGCCCCCTCAGGGAGCCCGCCCCAAGCTCCGCCCCCACCTCCCCTCGGGGAGCCCCGCCCCGCCCCCTCAGGGAGCCCGCCCCGAGCTCCGCCCCCACTCCCCTTAGGAAATCCCTCCCCCTCCCCGCCCCATCCCGCCCCGCCCCCTTAGGGAGCCCCGCCCCGCCTCACCTGAGCTGAGCTGCGCGCGCGTAGCCCTGGAAGTAGCGCAGGCGCGCGAACAGGTAGACCAGGCCGCAGGCGGCGGCGGCGCCTACGGGAGCGGGGCGCGGTGAGCGCATGTGCGAGTGGCCGAGCACCCCCCTACACCCCGCGCGCCCCTTCCCCCCGCGCCCACCTTCGTGGAAATAGATGCCGGCGACCCAGAGAGCGGCGAGGAATAGCGGGAAGTACTCGCTGCAGTTCACCCTGCGGGCGGCGGGCCGGATGATGCGTTGCTGGGCTGGCACAGGACCCAGGCGCACCCGGGGCGACCCTGTCCATCCCGCTGCCCCCCACCCCTGCTGCCTCACTGGGCTCGGTAGACACGTTCGAAGCCGGGCGGGCCGGTGGTGAGCGGCGGTGACACGCGGAAGGCCCTGCGCGCAGAAATGACCTGCAGGGAAAAGTAGGCTGTGGGCAGCGCGGGGGAGGGGGTCGTGAGGCGTGGGTGGGAACCTGGGTCTTCGCGGGGCTCTGCGCTCCTCCTTCCTCGTGCTCGGGCCTATCCTGTGATGCCCGGTGGGGAGGGCACAGGAACACCTGCCTGGGCTCCAAGAGTCGTTTGACTTGCAAAGCAGGCAGTGTGTCTAATTTTCCTAAGGGGTCCCCTGAACAGGAAGTGCCCTGACCAGGGTGTCCCTGGAGGTCTCAGGAGGTCTCTCACATCTTGCTTCAGTGATTCTGACAATGGCTGCAAGCTGAGACCCCACCATCCTCCCAGTCCACTGTGGGTAGCTGGCCCCTAAGGGATCTCAGTAAGAAGGACCTTGGCCCCAGGGGTGGGTGCCTTCCTGGGAGACCTTTAGGCCAGGCTTTTGCAGAGCCAGCCCTGGTGCCTGCCATGCCAACTCAGTGCAGGCCTGGGACCAACATGCGGGTGCAGCCAGAGACCAAGCAAGGCCGTTCCTGGGTGCACCCCCCCGGGATGCCTTATCCTAGCCCACACAGGGCCAGCAGCCTGCCTTCTGGAGCCAGTCTGAGATAAGCATGAAGCGGGCACATGTGGGGGTGAGGCAGGTTGGGGAGCAGAGAAGTCCTGCCAGGCCACAGGACGGGGGCCTGCTGCTTGAGACCACTGAGGAGGTTAGCTGTGCCCCAGGCACGTGGTGGCCCCACTCCTCTTATCTTTCTAGTTCCTTGCTCCCACAGCTCAACAGACAAGGAGGCTTCCTTCCTCTGCTCTGTGGACCACCAGCTTGCACATGGTCCCCTAGGTCAGGCACTCCTGTTGGCTGTGTTTCTGACCCTGGATTCCTCAGCTCACCTCCCACCCCTCTGCAGCCTGGGGTGACAAACACCCCACCTCCAGCTGGCACTCAGGCCAGGTGTCTGAGCCACCTCCCCCCCACACAGGAGAGTGCCCACCTTGTAGCAGGACTCCTAGGAGGGTGACAGTGGCCAGGAGAGCCACCTCGTCCTTCATGGTGCCGGAGACAGGGCCAGCCATGGAGCTGTTATCAACACATCTAGTGTACAGAGGAAGGGCGGCCCCAGTGCCTCCCCGCCCTTCTCCACCAAGGAGGAGGGGGCATGTGATCTGGCCCACAGAGCCAGGGATCCCAGCTAGGCTGGTAGCCAGAAACCAGACTGGGACAGCCTTCCCACTTCCTCCCACTTGTTGTAGTCTCTATGCCTAGACCTGACCTTGGTAGAGCCAGTGCCATCCACCTTTGCCCATTCCTACTTGGGGGATTGCCTAGCTGCAGTGTCTCCCTGGCCCTTCACAGTTCATCCTGGCTCCAGTCCCAGGCATGGGCTCCCTACCCCTGGCCTATGCACACTCCTCACCTGTCTCTCTGCCCTTCGTTTGCAAGGCTGTTCAGTAACACTGGACTTGAACTGCAGAGCCCTCGCCCCCAACCCCAGGCCCCCAGAGCCCCAGGTCTCCGGTCCCGTAGCCTAACTTGTGAGCCGAGACTAACTCAAGACAGGGAGCCACAGCAGCTCTGAGGGCTGTGCAGCCCACCCGAGTGTACCTCTCCTGCATGCGCCCAGGGCCGTTCAACCACTTCCCCTCCTGGTCACAGCTGACTTGACGTGAGTTTTGGTCAGAAGTGGCAAGGGCCACAGGCAAGCAGCAGGAAGGAAGTGTGGGGACTGCCCAGGGCAGTGGAGACACCCTGAGTCCATCTGCCTGATCAGTCCTGTGGCCCCTGAGCTCCTTCCAGCTTCCCTAATCAGCCTCCTTCCCTGTGACCCCCACAGCTAAGAGTGCAGCACTGCGACCTGGTGCCTGCTGTAGTGCTGCCTGCGTCTCGCAGCCTGCACATGCACTGCCCATCAGCACCCCAGGAAGCCAGATGCTCCCAGTCTGGGGCTATGGGGACTTCTCACGGGCCGGAGTGGTCCCCACACCTGTCCCTGGCACCAACCAAGCTCTGGCAGGAGCAATCATGGAGTGAGAGCCAGACACTGAGCTGCCCTGACCACAGGCCTTGTTTTGGTTTCTGCTCATGTCCTGGTGCGGTGTTGTCTGCCCGTTGCCTGACTGATAATGGCCATGTGTCTCTCCCTGCTAGTATGGTCTTGGCATTCCTTCAAAGCCCATGTGTATGCACATATCAGTGTAGGCCCTCATTTCCTCTTAGGCCAGGAAATCCTCCCATCCGAGTTTGTTTTCTTGTCCCTAACTGCAGGAAGCTTCAAAGGAAGTTCCTGGCCAGAGAAGGGAGCTGGTCTCAGCCTCTGGAGCCTTTCTCCAGAATTTTGGTGCTTGGCACTTGCCCAGGGCCTTGGGGTCCCACCCTGGAGGCATCAGTGTCACCAGAGACATGAATGCTCTCCCCAAGCTCTCTGTGTCTCCAGCCTCTTTGTAGCCCTGTGGAACCTTCTGGATGCCCAGGACCTCCAGGAGGAAGAAACACCAGCAAGTAGGTGCAATGGGTCGGCAGCAGGGACACACAGCACAAACTATGCACTTGACACAGAACAATACTGACTTAAACTTTTTTTAAAAAAAGATTTATTTATTTATTAAAGATTCATTATTTTTTATTGCAAAGTCAGATATACAGAGAGGAGAGACAGAGAGGAAGATCTTCTGTCTGATGATTCACTCTCCAAGTGACTGCAATGGCCAGTGCTGCACTGATCCGAAGCCAGGAGCCAGGAACCTCCTCCAGGTCTCCTACCTGGGTGCAGGGTCCCAAGGCTTTGGGCCATCCCTTCATGTAGTTTCTGTTAGCATCTAACTACCAACAATGTAAACCCAGAATTTAACATTAATATAAGACTGTTGCGGTGCAGCAGGTTTAGTCACCTATGACTGGCTGGTTTTACTGCCAATCCAGCTGCTTGCTAAGGCACCTGGAAAAGCAGCGGAGGATGGGCAAGTACCCAGCACAGAAGTGTGAGACCTTGATGGAGTTCCAGGTTCCAGTCTTTGGCCTGACCAGCTACAGCCACCGTGACCATCTGGATGGGAGACTTTCTCCCTGTGTATCTTCCTTTCTGTTGGCCTTTCAAATAAATAGCTAGATCTTTCTGGGGTTTCCTGGTAGTTTAAAACAAATTTTTTTTTTTTTAAGATTTGTTTTTATTGGAAAGGCAGATTTATGGAGAAAAGGAGATACAAAGTTCCTCCATGCACTGGTTCACTCCCCACTGGCCACAATGGCTGGGGCCAAGCCAATCCAAAGCCAGTAGCCAGGAACTTAGTTTTGTTTTTGTTTTTTAAGATTTATTCATTTTTTAATTGGAAAGGTAGATATACAGAGAGGAGGAAAGACAGAGAGAGATCTTCCATCCGATGATTCACTCCTCAAGTGGCTGCAACAGTTGGAGCTGAGCCAATCCAAAACCAGGAGCCAGAAGCTTCTTCCAGGTCTCCTATGTGGGTGCAGGGTCCCAAGGCTTTGGGCCATCCCCAACTGCTTTCCCAGGCCACAGGCAGGGAGCTGGATGGGAAGCGGGGCTGCCGGGACATGAACTGGTGCCCATATGGGATCTTGGCATGTTTTAGGAGAGAACTTTAGGTGCTACTCTATTGTGCTTGGTGCCCCCCTTCCCCCCCCCTTTTTTTTTTAATGATGATTATATAGTTGAATAGGGTGGGAAGAGTCAAGGGTTAGAAGAATGTGGGTGAGACCATTGTTTCCACAATTTCTTTTTTTGTCACCCTGTATCTGGGGGGATAGGTGGAGATAAGGGGAGAAGCCACACCCAGCCTCCCAACTGCCTCTGGTACCTGGAGATGTGGTATAGTCACCTGATGTCATCCCAGGGTCCCTGATGTGGGACATGCTCCAAGGGTCCTGCTCAAGAGGTTTTAATAGTTCAAATTGCTGTTGATTTTGCTGCTCCAATCACGATGAAATTCCTCCACAGTCTACTAGCTGACATAGTCCACCTTAGAGTCTCTTTACCCAAATATTCACTGCCAACACTTGGCTGGGGTAGTTGGTCAATTTGTTCTGCCCTCTGTTAATGGTACCACATGTCTTCTGCAGGCTCCAGTGGACTGCCATATCATCCATAGCCATCTGGTATGCCATCCACTGTTTGAGCCAATGAGGAGGCCCAGTTCTGACACATGTACTCCATGATCAGACTATGCAACCTGCAATTCTCCCTATGTTTGGAGTTCTGAGTTCAGCAGTTTAGTTGAGGTGATTCCCAAAGAAACCTCATCTGCGATAATCCCAGACCTGATTCTTGTGCGTGTTTGCCAATACTGGCTCTGTCACCCACATCAGCCTAACCCCAAGTGATGGGTTGTCCCTTCTCCAGCCCCATCTCCTATCCTAGGGTAATAGGTGCTTCAGCCCAGCTCAATCCTGCCCACCACACACTTGGCTCTCATGTACGCCAGCGGGAGTAGTGGCCTAGTGGGAATAACCCCTAATGATCCCCACCCCGGGCCCCGCCATCCTTGGTTCCTGTGCTTACCAGTATGAACAGCAGACTGGTCTAACCTGTCGCACATCTCATTTAATTCTTGTACATGCCAATGGGCATTGATGCCTAGCTCAACCAGCCACACTACCCAGCCTACACTGTGCCTACAGGTGCCACTCTCTGTCTAGCCATGCCTGCTCCAACCCTGGTTTTCATATTCACCAGTGGGAGTTAAACCCCTCAGAGAGGTGCCCATAATTTCCCTACTGGGCCCACCCAGGCCTTGGATCTTGTACTTTACAGGTGGTTCTGCAGCTTAACAGGATTTGCCCCCAGTCCCAGCACTTGCCAGATGGTGCTACGGCAAAACCCAGCCAGCCTGTATGTACTCTGGCTTATGAATGCTGCAGTGGGTACAGTTGGTTAGCCCAACCTGGGAGCCAGGAACTTCTTCCTGGTTTTACACATGCGTGCAGGGTCCCAATGACTTGAACCATTCTCCATAGCTTTTCCAAGCCATACAGAGGGAGCTGGTTGGCAAGTGGAACAGCCAGGACACAAACGGGCACCTATATGGAATGTTGAGCTTGGAGGTGGAAGGTTAGCCAGTCAAGCCACTGCACTAGACCCCAGAGTCCTGACTTCTAATTTGTGATTCTAAGCTTCCTACCTGTCTTTCCATTCCATTCCCTGAGGTTTCTGACCTCTAAAGGGTTGCTGAAGGATATAAATCTCGCCTTCTGTAGCTACTCCATGCTGATTAGGGGTATAGGCCTTGCACATCCTGGTTTCGGAAATCTCTCGTTTTTCTTCAAATGGATCCATCTCGTGAGCCATATAAATTCTAGCCAGTGCCAGTGGCTGAGTCCTCCACATCCTCACCACCACTCCAAGAAGTCCTTTTGGTTCCCAGCAGCAGACCAACTTAATTTATGTCCACCTGGGCATGATCCTCTCCCAAGCCCAGGAGTCAGCATATAAGAATGGCACTTTATACACTACGTGCTCTGATGCCAGGATGTACATTGCTTGGCTCTGGTGCCTGAGATTAGAGATCCTGTTGCATCTGAGGCCAACTGGACGTGAAAGCTCAGGTTTCTTGGTGACAACAACGGCCATTAGTGAGGATCTCCCAGGACCCCAGCCTTAGGCCCTTGGTTACCACGGAGGCACACATGGGTTCAACTGCCTAGGACCTGTTAAAATGCAGTACCATGAAGCCAGGCTGCAGATCTTCCAGGTGTCACCAGATATCCAGTCAAATAGGGCAACAGCCTTGAAAACACTGTGCTGATTGCACCCAATGCAAAAAAGACCCACCTGGGCCTGGTGCGATGGTGTAGTGGTTAAGGTCCTCGCCTTGCACACCTGAGATCCCATATGGGCGCTGGTTCTAATCCCGGCAGTCCCACTTCCCATCCAGCTCCCTACCTGTGGCCCGGGAAAGCAGCCAAGGACGGCCCAAAGCTTTGGGACCCTACATCCGCTTCGGAAGAGGCTCCTGGCTTCGGATTGGCTCAGCTGCAGCCGTTGCGGCCGCTTGGGGAGTGAATCATCGGACGAAAGATCTTCCTCTCTGTCTTTCTCCTCTGTGTATATCAGCCTTTCCAATAAAAATAAAATAAATCTTT